GGCCACATGTCATTTAAGACCCCACCAGCTTCCAGTCTCTACGCAGGTATCCCACAGATATTATTTTTCTGGATCTACAAAATTCAATTCCCCTCTCTCTGTTTTGGAATTTTACGGGCATTTGCGCACAATAGAATATGACAAATGCCTGTTTTACTCTAAAACTACTGCTTTGTGGATTTTTATCTTATTGTTGGTGGATTTCTTCCTCGACAATTTTCAAGAATTTTACAAAATCAAAACATAATTTCACGAAAATTTTCGGAAAAAATCGAAAATTTCAACTTTTTGTTTTGAACTGGAAAATACAGTGATAAATAGAAATGATAGACGACGAAGCTATAGCAGTACTTTAAGTGTATTTGATGATGTTACAAAGAAACTAGTTTTACTAGACACTTATTAAATCACTAATTTAGTGAAATAGGTCTGTATACACTGCACAATTGCTGTGTCTCATGCTCATTGAACATTTGGTTATAAGTTATAACTTGATTCTAAAAGTGTTTTTTTTATCGGAGTTTTCTGGTTATTACGGAACAAAAAGAATTTTCTAATTTTATTATTTAAATTACCATGGGTTTTCAGGAATATACTAGTTGTATCTTTCTATCATAGAAAGCTTGGAACAAAGTCAAACTTATACAGGGTGTCCCAAAAAACATGGGAATTCAGTGACGAATTCGAAGTCGGCTTTGTACAAGATCTATGATTTAGTATAGCGATACCTACTTATATGAAAGCTGTCATCCCGGTGAATTTTTCGTCTGCTAGAGTTTAAAAAATGTTGTTTGTTTAAAAGACACTGTTAATACTGCAGATATTTTAAAGAAATAAATAATTATTGCAGAAAATATGCGTACAATCAAACAAAAGACCGTGATACGAGGTTTACATGTCTATAAAAGACAAGTTAAGTCAGGAGATATTTTAAGTTGTAAACTTGACCAATTCTGGATGTTGGAAAACCCCAGTCGATACAGCAAATTGCTGTCAAAGATTCGTTTAACCGAACGGTAAGCATGTCTTTACATTTCCTTAATTAGCCATATTTCTCTTTCTTTATTCCGCCATATTTTCGTCATTTCTTTAACCAAATTCCTCGTTTTTTCATTTCCTGTTCATTAACTTTAATTCTAGTTCCGTTCTTTCATTAAAGAGACTGTAGTGGGGCTTTTAAGTGATTCATAAATTTTTTTAGTGGTAAATGGTGTTCTTCAGAAAAAAATTAACGATGGACAAATGAAATGGATCGTTCAGAGCGATGAAAAAATAATCGTCTATAATAACGAACAAAAAATCTGAATATTTTAAAACCGTCGAACGAACTTAAAAAAAGGATCGTGTTTAGAATGAACGATTTTTCCAAGATATGGAAAAATCTAGTATAGATTTTTTTCGAACAAATTTAAAAAAAAATTTTCTGTTCATTGAAAAAACTAATGAAATAGATGGAAAAGGACGCGAAATATATTATTTCTTTAACGATTGAAAAACGAAAAGAAAAATTATTGAACGTTCTCATCTCAAAAATCCAAGGTGGACAGAAAAAATGCAAAATTATACAACATATTTCCATTATTTTTTTTTATTAGAACTTCCAGTTTTTTGATTCAATTTCTAACCCTGCATTCAATATTTTTTACCTTTAACATGAACTGTGTACTATAATTCTACTCAATCCACTCTATAAAATCTATAAAAAATCTAGGATTACCTTTACTTAAATATCCATTTCTAAGCTTAAAAAACATTCGAAGTACATCTAAAATCTCATTTATATTTGTTTAAATAAAGATCACATCATGTATGTTGAAATACTAAAATAATTATAAAATCTTATTAAAACTAAAATACTACATCCGAGTCAACTGCCAATATCATCCATTGAAGTATATTTTGGATCAAATAAATAACTATTATTCTTCATTTTCCACCTCCTCATCTTCCTCATCTTCCTCACCCTCCTCATCCTCCTTATTCTCCACATTCTCCTCATTCTCCTCTTCATCCTGTGAATAAAGATGGGCATCATTTTTGTGAAAGAAATTTTTTTTCGAGAAAAACGATCGGTAAACAAAAATGAACGAAAAAAAACGAGCAAATTAAAATCCTTCAAATGAACTTGAATTTTTTTTTGACATGACCAAAATAATTTTCTAAAAGATTTTGAAAAAACTAAGTTCTTTTATTGAATGAACGATGTTTTGAACCAACTTAAATTTTTCTTTACTGAACAAACGATTTTACTGAACGAACAATTTAACTGAACAATCCTCTAGTAAGAAAACAAACGAAAAGGAAAAGAACGATAAATTCGAGAACGAACAGGATCAATTTTTTTGGAATGATTAAAAACAAAAGCGAACGAAATGGGTCGCTTACGAAATGAAAAGCCAAACGTGCATATCCCTACCTCCGAATCCTTCTTGGAACAAGCATCCTTACTATCAGGTGCTTCTGCATTCTCCTCCTCATCATTTTCGGTATCTTCTTCTTTCTTGAAATGCTCCGGAGACTTTTCCCCTTCCCTGTTCCTTTGATCAACTAAGAAAGAAAATTTTTCGTGGTCTAAAAATCATTTCTTAAGTAAACATAATGTTATTTAAAGTGATGATTTTATCAGATTTTTTTTTCTCGTAATTTCAGATTCACGAAAATGTTTATTTTTACCCAGGTGGGTTGGATGAAATAATGTTGTCAAAAAAGTGAGCTGTGGATTGTACCAACTCCAAGGTTCCAAGGTTGGTTCGGAGGTACCCACTACCCATAGCTTTCTTTTCGTTTTTTAATGCTAATTTTATTGTCAAATTAATCTAGCTCCTCAAGAAATGATCGCTCATCCAATTTTTTAGTTAAAAAAGAAACTTTAAACAAACAGCTTGTGATTTCAAAAAAAAAATTACGAAAATCTTAAAACTTTCTTTAACTTAAAGAACGAATGAAAATAAGTTGTGAAAAATCGAAAACTTTAAAAATCCAGAAAATCGATTTCTGACTTGCACTCAAAGAAGTGGTTGTAAAAAAAGTATGAGGTCTGGAAGTAAAAAATTTAAATCATGAAAAAACTGAAATATAGAACGAAAATCGTTCCCTCCCAATAGAATAATCATACAAATGAGACATTAAATAAGGCATAAAATGAAATTCAATTTCAAATATATTAATCAGATCAAAAAGACTGGTGGCTCTAAAAATGCCATGCTTGCAATAATTTTTTAGCTAAGCTCAGTGTCTGTCCCACTGAGCTTTCAAAAAATGCTATCAGTCTGCATCAATGAAATTATTTCTTATTTTCTTCAATTGCTTGTTTTAAAACAATTGTAATTTAATTCTAGGCCATTTATAGAGAGAAAAAACTAATAATGAACATCACAATTTATAAAAATACAACCTGAATTTGTAATTTAGTGCAAATAGCGGATTTTGGATAATTTTCCTTTATTTAGTTTAAAGCACTAGCTCAAGAAGTATTATTTATCCTAACAAAACATAAGGAATATCACCTGATTCTTTGTAGATAAGATCAACTGTTAGATTCTTGTACTTGACTGGGTTACTGTAAATGTTAATCAGATTATTGGCTTTATCATGAATTTTTCAGTATTTCCAATCTCTGCCATTGATGGCCATTATTTAAGTCAAAAATATTTCTAAATATGAAGTGCAGGAGTGTATATTTTTCTGTTGGTATTACAATACTAATCCTTAAAAAAGACGACATCGAATTCGTCACTGAATTCCCATGTTTTTTGGGACACCCTGTACCTTGGGTTTAAACACAATTGTTTTATGCGAAATGAAATTAATTTTGGATTTTTAACTAAAATGTTTGCGAAAATATGACGAAAATTGAAAATATATTTACGTGAATAGAAAAGAAAACAGCCAAGAAAGTGGATCTTATCCTTTTTTTATTTTAAAGGCATTGCTTTTATGAATCAATATTTAATTCTATTTTTATCTTATTTTAACACTTACTTTTATTTTTTTAACTTTAAAAAGTTTTGTTTCCTAGTTTTTCAAGTTTGATTATTTAAACATCTGTGCTAAAATGTTGAGGTAAAAATATTGTTGCAAACATGTGTTGTCTGATATTTGAAAAATTAAATTATATTGAATTTAATAAATAGCTTTACAAAATATATTTACATTTCTTGTAGGGTTCAACCTGTTAGAAACAATCCAATATATTAATAATCCTTGAAATATGAACAATTAACATTCAATTACATTTGTTTTTTGTTTTACATATTGACGATTCGCTAATAAATGTAGAAATCAACATAGCTAGGTAGCTTATATAAGGGGGGGGGGTCATGCCCCTCTCCCTGTAAAATTGGGTGGGTACCTCCCCCTCGTATATTTAAGCGGTGAATAGAGAGAGCAGGCCTATCTCACCATTTCCGTTTGATGTAGAGAAACAAGTTTAAAGTTATTTAAAAAGTATGTAATCCAGAGAGGGGGGGGGGGCTATTTCTACACCTTCCACCCAGCTATATCAGGGTTTCTAGAGATATACAATCATTTTTTAAACGAACAAAATTTATATATCATAAATTTTTTTAGTGGTAAATGGTGTTCTTCAGAAAAAAATTAACGATGGACAAATGAAATGGATCGTTCAGAGCGATGAAAAAATAATCGTCTATAATAACGAACAAAAATTCNCCCCCCCCCTGCCATAGCAAACTCTGTCCCTCTTGCACACCCCCCCTGCCATAGCAAACTTCTTCGAAGTTTGCGCGGCCTTCAGAAACCTGTAAAATATACCCGATTCTGAAAAGGGGGGAGGGGGGCAAAAATATGAGTCTCAAAACCAATAAACACCCCCTGATTGGAAAGTTTCATACTGCACTTCCCTTTCTCCATTTTTTCGCAGAAATATTCCTTAAGTATTAACTAAAATTTTAGTAAAATTAAGTACAGGGTGTCCCAGGAAACGTGACAGCTGAGAGACTACTTGAATATAGTCTTTGAACTTTGTAATCACTTATGGCATTCATTACTCAAACTAATATTAGAGGCAATATTCTGGAATTAATAAACACAAAATACCTCTCACCCTGGTATTTTCCAAATGTGGTCTGCCATTTTTGTGCTTTCAAAATTACCGGAGATATGAATAATTTTGTTTCGAATTCGACAATTTTGATATTATTTAACAAAGTGAAATTTAAATTCTTAATATTGAAAACACAAAAAAGGCAGACAACATTTTAGAAATGCAAGGACTAGGAGAGTTTCGTGATTAATGTTTTAAGAATCATGAATGTAAAGTAAAAGTAGGTTGACAAAAGCTGAATATTTTTTCTAAGAGTAAATACGATTTTCAAGGTTTATCTTTTTACTGTCATGTTTGGTGGGACACCCTGTATAATAAAAACGGAGAGAAGGTGTCAAGAAACCCTTGAATTATATATATATAGCACCTGCGATAGTTAATCTTCTTCAAGACTTTGACTGAACACTGAAAATATAAAAAGTTAAAACATAATTTGTAATTAATATAAAAAACAGGGCGTTTCAGGTACGGTACACTTATAGAGATATAATTTTATCTATCTATCTCACTGTTCTGGGCCAGCGTACATATTCAAGATTTTGTAATTATTCAGACGGGCGTTGCAATTATTTATAATTTAAAAAGGCTAGTTTTTTAAGTTCAAGGTCCAAAACAGAGAGGAGCCTAGGTAACTGGAGTAAGGAGAAATGTGATACTGTAGATAATATCTTGTAAAAATAACATGGCAGGAGATATAAAGCATTAAATGCCCATTTCCAAAATGTGGTCTGCCGTTTTTGTACCGTAAAAATTGAATGAGATATTGAGAAATTTGTTGAAATTCCAAAATATTAAATACAAGCGAAGTTTAGTATTTCCGACGAGGAGACTTTTATACCAAGCTTTAAAGACGTCAAACGTTTTTCTATACTCCTTTGACAACCATTAACCTAACGAAAATCTAAGACAAATTGCATGTCCAGGGTACAATGTACTGCATAACACCCCACCAAGAAAATTACATCAAAACTTGCCTACAAAACATTTATTTCTAATCTATATATCTCCATGATTACAGGTTATCCCACTTCCTATTGAAAATACGAATAATAAGGTTTAGTCTACGGCTTTACAAAATATACATCCCTTCAGAAACTGTACAAGCTTACCGTTAGAGTTAGATCCATTTCAGCTGTGATGTAAACAAACAAAACTTTCCGTCTCTTGTGCATCTCAATCTGCTTCTCCCCTCTTATACGAATCTAGTTAAAAAATATCATCCAAGTAGGTATAAAAAATCATGTGCACTTGACTGAACACTCTAAGCGCAATTTAAATATGCAAAAATTCCCATGCCCAGTTAACAACTGTACCCTTGAAACCTTTATCCGATCAATAATGTGGAAGATATTGTCGTTTTTATAGACTTAGATTTTTATTAAGAAAATGTTCATATTTTTTGTCTGCAGTAAAAATGGGCAAGTCAGTTTCGTAGAGAATCACAAATAAAAATTAACAGTTTTCTAAATAGTAAAACATTGATATCTAAATCATATTTGAGAAGACAAAGCTTTCAAGGAATATTTGGAATAAATCCTTCTTTGGTTTTGAATGGTTTTAGCCAAAAGTTAAAACAGTGTTTTTGGAAAGCGAACAAAATTTGTTTATAAATATCTTTGTATATATATTTATTGGAACTAACCCCAGCCGATTCCCTGGGGATGATGGATGATTTTCAATAATTAAAAGGAAAGGTTTAAAAATGTTAAATTAGTCCTTTTACAAGTAAACTATAATCGCTCACCAAGACTTTATTCAATTTCCACGATAAAAGTTTAAAAGTTTCTAACATAATAAATGAGAGGAGTGGAGCTGGAAACTATNCCCTATATACCTGTATCCTTGTATGAAAGGAATTTTACTTCACCAAGGGTTCCAAATGTTGCCAACAAAACATCCACAACATGGCAAGGTTTTTTTTTTGGCAAAATTGGTCGAGGGAACCTGTAAGTAAAATTTGAATTTCTCGAAAAAGTAAAATTTTATAACGAGCAAGTTTTTTTATAAACACTTTGCAAAGCGGGTGGTTATTTCAATTCATTGGCCCAAGGGACCTTTATTATATCCTGTTTAAGGAATCATGGGTAGGCAATGTTGGCCAAAAAACGGTTAAATAAAAAAATTTACCTCTCCCTTTAGGCCCTTTACTCCAGGGTGTTCACTTGTGTACATTTGAAGAGTAACATGGTTGGGACTAAACAAAGAACATTAAAATTAAAAGTACAAATAATTTACAATTAATAAATTAGTTAAAAAGAAAAACTAGAATGCTTAACAACAAGCCTATTTTACACTTATGTTTTTTTGCAGACTGAGGAGAGATAGTTCCTCTGTAAAATTGACCTATTTAGTTGACTATAAGAGGGAGTACAAATGCTGAAAAAATGATCACTATATAATGTATTTGTTATCCAAAAAAAAAGGTTTTATTATTTATGTAAATCATGAAAATGATAGAGGCTAAAACAAGCTTATCAAACTTACAATTTCAAGGGGAAACTTTAGTGTAAAATTTAAAATTTATAAACATAATTTCAATTACAAACTAAGTTATTACCAGTATTTACAAAACTCGTAACACGCCAATAACCACTGTTATAATCAAACAAACAAATCAAATCAAACATCATTCCGAAGAAATCAGGGCTAAGCCACCGTCAAAATAACCATAAAAGGTAATTTTCAAATTTATCGGAGAAACTTTAACCTACACTTCTCTTCTATTGTTTCCCTACAATACATCCACAGGTCAATTCATTAATAAAAATTAAACAAGGATTTCTTTATTAAAATTTTTTTTTCTAAGCTGTTTAACCCTGTCACGATTGGGCAGGGGGGGATTTCAAACCCCCTTGTGGATAGGGTTAAGGGTCTTCAGTCCCTTTAAATAACACCTTTTCTTGTCCCAGCTTGATTTCCCTGGTTTGAACATTGGCAGAAAATCTTCACTTTCATCCGGTGTCTTGTACAGGTTAGTAACTAGAACAGTGCATGTACAGGTTAGTAACTAGAACAGTGCATGTACAGGTTAGTAACTAGAACAGTGCATGTAGAGGTTAGTAACTTGAACAGTATATGTACAGGTTAGTAACTAGAACAGTGCATGTAGAGGTTAGTAACTAGAACAGTGCATGTACAGGTTAGTAACTAGAACAGTGCATGTAGAGGTTAGTAACTTGAACAGTATATTTACAGGTTAGGAACTAGAACAGTACATGTACACGTTAGTAACTGAAATAGCATATGCACAGGTTAGTAACTAGAACTACATGTATAGGTTCGTAACTTAAACAGTTATGTACGGGTTAGGAACTAGAACAGTACATATACAGGTTAGTAACTATAATAGCATATGTACAGGTAAGTAATTAGAACAGTACATGTAAAGGTTAGTAACTTGAACAGTATATGTACAGGTTAGGAACTAGAACAGTACATGTACAGGTTAGTAACTAGAACAGTGCATGTAGAGGTTATTAACTATAACAGTCCATGTACAGGTTAGTAACTAGAACAGTGCATGTACTGGTTAGTAACTAGAACAGTGCATGTAGAGGTTAGTAACTAGAACAGTACATGTACAGGTTAGGAACTAGAACAATGCATGTACAGGATAGTAACTAGAACAGTGCATGTAGAGGTTAGTAACTAAAACTAGAACAGTTTATGTACAGGTTAGTAACTAGAACAGTATATGTGGAGGTTAGTAACTAGAACAGTATATGTGGAGGTTAGTAACTAGAACAGTATATGTGGAGGTTAGTAACTAGAAAAGTATTTTTGATAATTATTCTCTTTTAAACTTTTTACCCAAAATCTCAAGGATTGCCCTCTAAAATAATTTATTTTTCTCTATTCATTAAATGCAATCCTAATTTTTAAAATGCAACTCCTGGAAAAAAACATATTTTCAAAAGGGGGGTGGGGAGGGGGGAAGGACATTTATTTTTCGAGTAAAAATACACCTTGTGTACAGGTTGGTAAATAAGAGAAATGTTACCTTTTCCTGTAAGCTTCTCATTAAACTGAATAGTAGCATGACAGTCGCAAGTAAACTGTTCATCACCATCATCAGAAAAATAATTGCACCTATGAAAAAGAAATGTACTTTAGTATTTGATACATTTCTTTGATCCCTCCTTTTCTAGACCGATTTCAAATGGAAAAGTACAGGAAAGGTTACTAGGTTACTAACAGGAACGAAAAATTTTTAAATCAAACATTTACATTTTCTTAACAAATTTAAGAAGAAAACTAAATAAATGATAAAAATTGAGATTATTTGTAAACATTTTTAACCTGATGTAAACAGTCAAAAAAAATCTGATCACTACGGTCAAGAAATATATAGACCAGGAACCGCCATATCTCATGCATGAAATCTGTGTTCTGCAGTGGAAGGAGATCAAAACATAGAATTCAGGGGCAACGCATCATTTAGAGGGAAAAGGGCCCAAGGCGTGGAATAAAAATATATTGCTATTGTAATTTCCATACTGACCAGAAATAATATGTATTCGCTCTAACTTAATATATATTAACTTGTTTTTTGTTGGATTGTAATATCATATCAGAGCTTTAGTCCTTTCCCTTCAACTTGTGTGGGGGCACTGGGTTTTTTTACATTCCTCCCACAGTGAACAGTACACAATTTGCGTATATCTGAGTTGGGCATTCCTGTATATAGTTCCTTGACTATGGTAATCTTGGCACCTTTGTCTGATGAAGGATAAATGAGAAATCCTAGTTTGTCTCATGACCCAACAGCAATTATACTTTTGAAGAAAATGGGAATTTGTGAAATTCCCCAGATTCCCAGGAATTTGATGAATTCCCAGGAATTAGAGAAATTTTGAGGAATTTAAGGAATTCCCTAGATTTCCAGGTATTTTGGGAATTTCCAAAATTCCCAGGAATTTCCCAATTTTTAAGACGTTGGGAATTTCTCAAATGACTGGATATGGGAATTCCCCAAATGTTTGGGTATTTGGGAAATTTCATTTAAGAAATTTCTTATAATTGAAGAATAAACTTTCCTCAGGTTCTTTGAGGAAATTGGGGAATTTCTCAGATTCCCAGGCATTTGGGGAAATTCCAATTTTGATTATTTTCTTAATTGCTGTCACTCCCTCGTTTGTCTAATTACAAACTGGAGATAGATAGATAGAAAACGGAAGATATCTTCCTAGTTGTTTATAAGATTTAGAGTTATTGTGAATCGAAAATTCCACTCTTATAAGAATTCACTTGACATTATGTCCACAAAGTCCTGATTTAATAAATTAGAGTCGCGTCTCAAATCCGCCAAAAACCAGTTTCAATTGAGCACCAAGTTAAATCTTAAAACATTAAAAACAATTCAAGTCGCAGCTCAAATTCTTGGAATTATGTCCACAGTTTATTAAAAAAAATAATTCAAGATCTTGCTTACCCACAAAGGAGAAATGACTTCAGTTTAAGGAATTCACGGACATCAAACTCTTTATCACTCTGAACAAAAAATTAAATCAATATTCATTATAAGACAGAAGCCCAAAGGAGTTATGCGCATGCCGCCTTAAATTACAAGACAGAGAGAGAGCCTTTTCCAATTGCTGCTCTCTGTCCCCTAGGCTGTCCTAGCCACAGTGCTCGGCCCAGAAAGTGTCTTAACCAACCCTAACACTAATATGTATTGTATACTAATCTTTCTCTTTCTTGAATTTTAACACGACAAGCGCACGTAACTTCTTTTGGCAGCTGTCAATATGTGCATACTTGGCTTGTCTGTCTATCAGTTTGTTTTTGACAAAACACAACGTAAAAAAGCTAAATCAGGCACCAATTTTTTTGTGGTGAATCACAAGACCCTACGAAAGGTGACCATCTAGAATTAGGAAATGTTGCCTAAATATATTTAGATATTTTTAAAACAGTTTTCAAGACTTTTAAAAAAGATCAGCATCAGAAAGATAATCACAGGGCGAATGTACAACTTGGGTTTTTAAAAATGCTTTTTTAAATTGTTCTAACCTTGCTTTTGATTCTTAGACGGGTTCCATTTAAAGTTTTCTGCGGCGAAAAAGAATTTTTCCCCGCAGATTTCTTGTGCATCTTAAATAAGGAGTTGTCTAGATTGTCGGACATGTTTTCACCTTCAACTTTTGATACATCTTCTGATTTGTCCAAATCAAGATCTAAAAAAAATTTAATACAATCATATTTTAAAAAATTTGATTGTTGTGCGATAAGATATTGATTATTTACAATTTTCAGAATAATTTAGCTTTAACAGTCTTCTTCCTACCAATGCCTGGCTCTTCCACAGCAATCTGTGCCTCTTCCTCGATATCATACTCAGGAGCATCAATCTGTTCGCCTCTTGGTGATTTTTCAGAGTTCTGATTGTTAGAACTCTTCTCTCCAAGATCTTCATCATTTTCAGAATTATCCACAGCTTCTTTCTTTTTTCGACCTCCCTTGGATTTTGTCGCAACCTTCTCTGACTCAGTGCCAGGTTCTTCCTTGGAAGTTTTTTTCTTTCTACCCATCTTCTTGGTAGGTTCTTCTGTTTCCTCCTCATCTTCTTCTTCAATTTTCTCCTCATTATTTTCATATCTCTTCTTTTTACTGTGTGAAGACTCAGTTGGATCTTCTTGGCCATCCAAATCAACCATATTTCCTCGTAATAATTAATAATTAAACTTGAACAAAAATCTGTTCTTAAAAACTATTAATTTAAAAACAGGAAAGTATGTAATTTTAAATTTTGCAAGAAAGAATCAACTTGCCACGATTTAACAAAAATAATTTAGACAAATGATGGAGAAAAAAAATGTAAAAAAGGATTACCAAAAAAATTAAAACTCTTTTAGTTTTTATACATATTAATTAGGGTGACCCATTTTGCAGGAAAATATAGATATATAGCACCACAAATACCTAACAGTCGAATATTGTTCTCTATGATGTCAATTATCACAGGATTTTTTTTTTATCTAGGTGAATGATAAGTGTTCGTGCTAGGCCCAAGCAGATCGCAAAAAAATCTTCATATATTTCTTGAATTCATCATGTTATATATCATTTTCTTCGTAATTGTTATCATTAAAACCATTGAAGTTTAAAAAAAATTTCAAAAATTGATTGAGTTAGACCAAAAAAACCTCCAATAAATGTACTTTTTCTAAAAACAAGCATTTTTGACAGTTTTTTTTGACTAACTCAGTCCATTTTTAAAATTTGTACAAAAATTTCAAAGGATTTAATTTTTTAGACAGTTGCGAATAAAATTATATGAATGATAAATTCAAGAAATATTTGCTTTGAGCTATGTAGACTTTTTCGATCTGCACTGGCCTTGCACGACCACTTTCCATTAACCTAGATAAAAAAATTCCTGTGATGACTGACATAATACAGAACAATATTAGACGGTAAGGTTTTAATGGGAAACCAGACTACAAAATGGGCCACCCTAATATTAATAGTATCTATAACACAAATGAATACGGTTAATTTCAAAAGGTGTAATCAGTTAAAAATGTTGCAAAAAAGAACTTAGAATGGGATAAAACATATTTAGTTATAGCAAAAATATCCATCAGGAGATCTGAACACTTTTCCTCGAGTTTTCTCGACTTTTTTGACAAAAGTTTATTCTTTGCAAGTAACAAAAACACTTGATAAAGAACATTCCTGGTAAAGTTGTTCTCCCTGGTGAATCCTTGCTAATAGTAAGTAAATAGTTATTAGTTTATTTATTAATTATCTCTTTGAGGTTGATTATCACCAGTGGAACTAAGATTTGATTTGTTGATAAAGTTTGCAGATTTTGAGTTTTAAAAAGTGGTTTTGTTATGAACTGTATACAAAATCAGAAATAAGTGGGTAAAGCCCTCGATATGGAGACCTAAATAGGATATACAATTACATGTGTGTATGGGTGTACATTTTAATAATGTACACCCATATCTTTTCATTTAATAACACCCCTTGAAGTATTTAAGGAAAAAATACAGACTTAAATGATTCTGTAAGTTGTCGTAACTTTGCACGAGGTGAAAAACTTATAATTTTTTTTTAGATTTCAAATTTTTGAAGTTGATGAATTATATATCAACCAAAAAATTAATAAACAGATTTATTTTTGTAGTTAATATATTAAATATCAAACATTAAATGAATAAAAAGATTTAAATATCAATCAAATTTTCCTAATATCATTGCAAGATTCATCAGCATTCAGAGTTTGTTCATCTTCCTAGTAACACATTCTATTATTCTGTGTAAAATGGGACATGGGTATATTATTTCCAGAATTACATCCCCCCCTCAGCTCACAGAGGGGATGGTTTTTGGTGTTCTGAAAATAAATTAATCCAAACCAAACAACTTCTCTGACACTAGCTCCCTACTCTGACAAAGGAAAATTGATCAAGTGAAATTTTAACTAGTGAATACATAGAATCCGTCAATAACCCTGCAATTTTACTTCAACAATCAAGCTCTAATTTTCAGAAGTGTTTAAAAATGTTATAAACTATTCCATCAACCCCTACTCCTTATCATCATGACATAGCTAAATAGTAAGCTATATAACTAAATATTAAATAACATCTATAAATAGTCAATTATTTTATTATATATGTTAGCATTTTTTGTAGGTTTGAAATATATCCTTCTATATGAATATTAGCAACTTTTGTGTCAGAGTTAAGGAGCTTAGTCCACTAGTCATTGTATCAACTAAACAATGAGTCAATAAGTCAACTACCAGTCAATAAGGTCAATTAGTCACCATGCCCCACCCAAGTTTCTACATTTCAAACTACCAATCTGGAACAAAGTGGACATAGTTTGATCTGTAGCATACCAACCAACCACGTTTGAAATCTGGATGTGGACCTGAACAACAGCAATGTCACCCCCCCCCTCTCCACCCACTGTTGTCTTCCCTTAACCACCTGCCAACCACCCCATCCTGCTCCTCACCTCTGCGTTCCAAATGCAATTCAGATGAATAATGTCCAGGAACTGGAAGACATCAACCATTTGTACAGACACACCCTAAAATCCAGCATGGATTTCCTTCTTAATGACAAGTCCCCCCTCTGTGCCACCCAACTGACTGCTATAAACATCCATATAAAAAAAAACTACAGGAAGGGTCAGGACTATGAAAAAATACAGTTTAGGAAATCATTCTGTTCCCTTTTCTGTCAGTGTCAGCTATTATAGTTTTCCAATCTACATGAGGGCGAGTGGCCCCTGCCCTAAAGGAAGCTGTGTGCCACCACCAAGTGGTGGCACCAAGTGGTGGCACAGTCTGCCAGTGTGGGCGAGCTAGGCGACTCAAGACTGGTTTCAATTAGATTCTTTTATCCCTCAGCGAGATCAAACCTGTCTCGTAGTTTCAACTTGGAATAAACTTTTAGCTCTGGAGTCCTATGATTTCTACCCATGGTAGATCCTTAAAGGATTTACCCTGACCAGATGCAATGATTCTGTCAAACTGGTGCTCACCCCCAATGCCATCCCGCTGGACAAGAAAGGACCCCTCAACAACATCACCGACTGGAACAACTTCAAGATCAAGTTAATTGAAGAATTCAGGAGCATCAACATCTTTGGTGATGTCAACCAGATTTTCAACCTCCTTCCCCAATATGAATCAGTTCAAGAAGTAGCTGAAGACCTATCCCCCAAGATCAAGACACTTAAAGCCAACCTTGAAATTATCCAGCAGTTCCCTAATGTGGAGGACCTCCAAAGCATCACCCTCACTCAACATCTGGTCAAGAATATCATAAAATGCATCCCCATGAAAGTTAAATCAGATTTAATCAAACAATACATGAAGTTTCGTAATCGGTGTGCAGCAAATGTATGACCTCCAGCAACATTTGAGTACATCAATCAGTTTGTAAACAAGTTGGAGAAGAACTATAGAACCCCATTCTTTACAACACAGGCTACACCCCTGCAACATAGAGGTCAAACCAGTATGGTACACACCTCCCAGCAACAACACCAAATCTAAACATCAGTCCTTTGGGTCTTCCTATGTATGCCCAAGCCGGCATGTACCCTGTGCACCGTCAAAGGGTTCCAGTCTGATCACTACCCCCTTAACCACAGCTGTGGAGTCGCCAAACTGAGTTCCCCAGAAATCCTCTAAGTCATCTCCAAGAACCATGTCTGCCCTAGCTGGACCCACACCCATGACCCAGCCTACAAATGCAAATTATTCTTCCACAACAAAACCTTCAAAGTTTTCCCCTTTGGATGCAAGCAAAGCAATCAAACTAATCAAACAACCAATCCAGATCCTTCAACCAAACCAGTTCCTCCTACCAAACCAAATCCTTTAACAAAACCAGATCCTCCTCCTAATCCTTCTACTGTACCAGCTCCATCAACAGAACCATCATGAGAATCAGAAAAATCATGAGAAGCAGGAGACACAGGAGAATCAACAGAAGCAGGAGAATCAGGAGCAAGAGAATCAGAAAAATGAGGAGCAGGAGAATAAGGAGCAGGAGAATTGAAAGCGGGAGAATCAGGAGAGGCAGGAAAATCTGAGAATCAGGAGAGGCAGGAGAAGCAGAAGTAGAAGAATCAGGAGTATCAGGAGCAGGAAAATTAGGAGAATCAGGAGCAGGAAAATCAGGAAAACTAGTAGCAGAAGAATCTGGAGAATCATGAGCAGGATAATCATGAGCAGGCAAAAGCAGGAAAATCAGGAGTGGGAGAATCTGGAGAATCAGGAAAATCAGGAGCAGGAAAATTAGAAGAATCAGGAGAATTAGGAAGCAGGAACAAAGCTCAGAGCAGCTCAAGCCATCCTCTGACAAAAAGCAATAGAGCTCATTGAATTCCTGTTACAGGGGTTCCACTCATAAATATTTTCATTTAAAAAAAAATTTCTAAGGAAAATAAAATTTCTTCAATTACTTAAATCAACTTTATTCCAAGATTTTTATCTAAAATACAACTTCAAGAATCTATTTCTTAAACTTATCACATTTTTTTTTAACAAAACTGTCCTTTATTTTAAGTTAATAATTTCTATTTTATTTGTTACTTAATTTGAAAATAAATTAAAGAAAGAAAGAAAATGTTAACCTCAGAACCTGCTGGAATTCGTTCTGGAGACTTCACTTGAAAGGAATTGTAATATGTCTATTATCTTTAGCTTGTAACATGTAAACCTCAAATACACTAATTGATATAGAAACTCCATACTATTTACTGCAAGAGAGTAATCATTCCCTGTTTTGAGAAACAGGCTGAGGATCATCCCCTTTAATTTGGGATGGTTAGTTACAAGATTCCGATTGATATTGATAGCTAACAATATCACACCCAGTGGTAGTGGCGTAGATAGATCACAGATCGTATTCATGTGGTTACCTGTTCTGCTGAACAGGTTAAGAGTAATCTCCTTAAATTTGGGATGGATAGTTGGGAGCTTCCTATTGATATCCATACCTAACTAGATCACGCCCAGTGGTATTGGCGTTGATAGATTACAGATCATATTTGTCAATAAGTCCCCCCCCCCCCAAGTTTCTACTACCCTGTATCTATATGCATGCAGTGAGCAGGGTATGGAATGAACATTATAGGTTAAAGGTGTTTTCATCATGTAAAATAGACCTATAAATTTACACTAACAGTTTATTCCAACAGCTTTGAGAGAAAATACTTCCTTACTTATCCAAATGGGCCCATCTACGCACTTTAGATATTTGTTCAATTGACCGTAATAAAAAATAGATATTATAAAACATGTTTGTAACAACTGTAAAAAAACACATGAAGCTAAGAGATTTGTCTTAAAAACAAATTTTAGAAAACTCATTTTTACAAAATATGTTAATCGATGAAATGAAAAGCAATACAATTACAAAATATTAGGAAATCAAATTTCTTCATGCATATAAAGCCTTGTAAAGGTTAAATAATAAATATTTTGTCAAATTTCAACCCAATACTGGAGAGCCAAAAAACAGACAATTTTTCGAATAGAGAAATTATCTTGGGTTTGATTTTTTGTCAAATTGCCAAGTTTAGAAATTAAAATTTTTTTAATAAATTTAATTTAAACTTTTTTTTATTTACATATTAATATTACACAAATGAAAATGATTAATCTTGAAAAGTGTATTCGGTTAAAAATGTTGCTTGAAAAATGGGATAAAACTACAAATTTACTTACAGCCAAAATTTATCAAAAATCGTTTCACCTCCCCCTAGTGTTTTCACCATTTTAACGCAATGTCAGGCATAAAAATGAAATATGCATTTAAAAAATGCGTATTTAGTTCTATATGTATAATTGAAGGGGGAATACTCAAAAATAGTTAGTTCCTCTCAAATGTTGTCTTCCTTACAAATTATCAAACAATCAATATTTATTGAATAATTAACTTCTGATGTGTTTGTCAAATTAAAATACAATTTTAAAAATCAGCAAGTGTCAAAACAATGTTTTTTCTTTACCAATTGTGTTGAAATGTTATAAACAATACCGACAAACCTGATCTTCAAGAGGTGGGTTTGTGCATTTTCCAATTCCGCAAGGGCCCTAAAATAGTGCCTAATTGTTTAAACTGTAAACTTTGAAAAACCTTTGTTTGCATGTTATACTTTTCAGCAAACCCCAGACCTAATTCTCAAAAATGTGTACACCTAATTCTAATAAAGGTCCAATACCTCGATTATTTTCAAATACAATACCACTCTTTAACTACAATTTTTCGCGAGATATATATATAGTCAAACGTTTACATTTACATTATTGTAAAGAATTAACATTTCTTGGTGAATAATGACTGGGATAAATGTCGTCATAGACCTTCGAAGCTTTCATAGCTGTTTGAGGGGCGTCACATTTATTGGACGTATACGATTTGATTGGACTAACGTAAAGACTGTAATTGAACTATTTTTTTTATTTTAAAAAACTTTATTAAGTTTTACAAAAAAATTTTATGATGTAATTCTTAATATTTAAGGGTTAGGTTAGCTGTGCCGACAATTTCTGGACCGAGCTCTGCGGCCAGGGGTCCGAGCGCTACGGCCTGGTTAATTGATTTTAACATATACACAATTAGGTATATATGATGTGATTTATAAACTTTATTATTACTTGGAACCATGGGACCAAATTAAATGAAAAACGTAACCAGAAGTTATACTTCTCTTGTGAGCCGGCTCATGTCAAAGAGAAAAGATTCAACTTTTTCCTGAGGTTCATGGTCCCACAGCAAAAAGTCGTGCAATTTTCGGGACCATGAATCATGATTGAAGTCGCAAAATACAAATTCTAAAAAATCTTAAAATACCCCTTAAATTAACTTTTTAAAATACTTAATGTATTACAATTTAACAACGCAAAATCAGTGCTTAGGATCCCGATCCGTTTAATCCGCAAAATCATGCGGATCCACGGATCCGTATCAAAAAGGCAAAATTTAACAAAAAACCTAAATAAACAAAAAACTTTTTTACTCTCAACACGGATCCGTATCAAAAAGGCAAAATTTAACAAAAAACCTAAATAAACAAAAACTTTTTTACTCTCAACACCCAGATCAGAACTGTTAAGAAAGGGAGATTAGAAAAAAAAACTTTGACAATTCTGCTTTGTTAAAATATCCGGATCCAGGATCCGCATTAAAATGGATAAAATTCTTACTTGATGTCCTTTGATGAATCCTTGGCATGATTTACATTTACGGACCATTGTTTATAAAATATCTGTAAAACAAAATTTTGAAAAAGGATTCTAATGTTTTTTCTTCACAATTATTAGAATCAGGGACAGTCAACGGAAGGAAAAGAAAAATCTTCTGTATCAACTATATCCAATTTATTTTAAAAATTAAAAATAAATTGTTAAAAATTCTTCATAAACTTTTTATCCCTGAAAACCTAAAAACTCGCTGGTCCAACGAAAGGTCTCTTCCAATTAAAAAATGTAGATAAAGGACAGATCGAATCACTTCCGTCAATTTTTTGGGAGACCAAATAATAGATAAAATTTCCAAAAGCAGGAAGTCCTGATAAGGAAAAACTCAATGCAATAAGCAGAGCCTATCAGAGAGGTCGCTCAGATTATTGTGTAACAGGCCTAACCTCTCAAAGATACCATGAATAGTTTTTACTGATAAAAAACTAAACAGTTTTACAAACATACATCAATATTTAAACAAGAAACGATGAATCCATGCTAGATTTACCAGGTCAGTTAACTGCTAGATTTACCCGGTCAATAAACTTTTGCTAGGTTTACAAAAAGTCAATAACCTCTACTAGGTTTGCCAGGAGGACAATTAACTTCTACTAGGTTTACCAGGAGGTCAATAAAATACTAGGTTTACCAGGAGGTCAATAAACTACTAGGTAAACCAGGAGGTCAATAAATTACTAGGTTTACCAGGAGGTCAATATATTCCTATGTTTAACAGGAGATCAATAAAATACTAGGTTTTTCAAGAGGTCAATAAACTACTAGGTTAACCAGGAGGTCAATAAATTACTAGGTTTACCAGGAGGTCAATAAACTTTTACTAGGTTTACCAGAAGGTCAATAAACTACTAGGTTTACCAGTAGGTCAATGAACTTCTAGATTACCAGGAGGTCAATAAACTTCTAATAGGTTTACCAGGAGGTCAATAAACTTCTGCTAGGTTTACCAGGAGGTCAATAACCTACTACTAGGTTTACCAGGTCAATAAACTTCTACTAGGCTTACCTGAAGGTCAATAAACTTCTAGGTTTACCAGGAGGTCAATAAACTTCTACTAGGTTTATCGGAAGGTCAATAAACTACTAGGTTTACCAGGAGGTCAATGAACTTCTAGTTTACCAGGAGGTGAACAAAATTCTACTAGGTTTAGCAGGATGTCAATAAACTTCTACTAGGTTTACCAGGAGGTCAATAAACTTCTACTAGGTTTACCAGGAGGTCAATAAACTTATACTAGGTTTCTATAAACTACTAGGTTTCCCAGGAGGTCAATAAAATTCTACTAGGTTTACCAGAAGGTCAATAAACTACTAGGTTTACCGGGAGGTCAATGAAATTCTAGTTTACCAGGAGGTCAATAAACTTATCATAGGTTTACCAGGAGGTCCAGAAACTTCTACTAGGTTTGACAGGAGGTCAATAAACTTCTACTAGGGTTACCAGGAGGTCAATAAACTTCTACTAGGTTTACCAGAAGGTCAATAATCTACTAGGTTTACTAGGGGGTCAATGAACTTCTAGATTACCAGGAGGTCAATAAACTTCTCATAGGTTTACCAGGATGTGAATAAAATTCAACTAGGTTTACGAGGAGGTCAACAAACTTCTGCTAGGTTTACCAGGAGGTCAATAAACTTCAACTAGGTTTACCAGGAGGTGAACAAAATTCTACTAGGTTTACCAGGAGGTCAATAAATTCTACAAGGTTTACCAGGAGGTCAATAAACTTCTTATAGGTTTACCAGGAGGTGAATAAAATTCTACTAGGTTTACGAGGTCAATTAACTTCTGCTGGGTTTACCAGGAGGTCAATAAATTCTACTATGTTTACCAGGAGGTCGATAAACTTCTTAAAGGTTTACCAGGAGATGAACAAAATTCTACTAAGTTTACGAGGAGGTCAATAAACTTCTACTAGGTTTACGAGGAGGTCAATAAACTTTTGCTATGTATACCAGGTAAATAAGCTTTTGCTAGGTTTGCAAGTAAATTAACTTTACATCTTTAACTCCATGAGAGCCTTATAGCACCAGAGTCTGCACAGCAAGCAAGGAAGTTAATAAGTGTTTATATACATAAATACATTCACAAATATATTACATTGAAATTTAACTAGAAATAGAGAAATATTACTTTTGTTGCTAACATGACCAAATAGTTTTACGCTGCTTTTTTCAACTTAATTTTTAGGAATTTTTAATACTTTCAGTGATTTCTCGTAAGATATGGCAATGCCATATTCACACAGGTTACCTAAAAACATTTATCTGGTCAAAAACATAAAAGACAAGTGTCGATTTCTAGGAGTTTAATTTTGATAATTCCTATTATAGTAGAAAATTTTAGAGTTTCTTTAGTAATTTTTTAAAATAAATTATCACAATAATGAGTTTCTCACAATTTTAGTTTTAGAGATATTTGTTTTTCTTATTCTTATTATAAATAAAATAATTTCTTATTTCTTAAATAAATAAAATAATTTCTTATTTCTTAAATAAATAAAATAATTTCTTATTTCTTAAATAAATAAAATAATTTCTTATTTCTTAAATAAATAAAATAATAAGATAATAAATAATAAATGTGTTCTTTAAGTTAGCTCGAGACATCACAAAAATTTATTATAATTACAAATATAAATATATTCACACATATTATTTTTTATTCTAAATCAAGACGAGGAAGTTTAAAGAGTTGTAACAAAAAGAAGTTTTAGGATAGTCACTAAGCATCCATTGCTTGATCCCCACTCTCGGAGTAAATACAGTAAGAGAAATTACGAATTATTAAATATGAAAACCTGGATGAACTTAACAAATTTTACCCATTTTAACATTAAAATTGAACCGGTCTTATAATTCTCCCATTTCTCTTTACTATCCATTTACCATGCATTTAATCTTATTTCCCTGCACTACCCATTTCACCTATACATCCATTTATCTCCCATTTTCTCTTTACTATCCATTTACCTTAAATTTCCCTTTACTATCCATTTATCTCCCATTTCCCCTTTACTATCTATTTATCTCCCATTTTCCTTTACTATCCATTTATCTCCCATTTCCCTGTATTATCCATTTATCTCCCATTTTCTCTTTACTATCCATTTACCTTAAATTTCCCTTTAATATCCATTTATCTCCCATTTCCCTTTACTATCTATTTATCTCCAATTTCCCTTTACTATCCATTTATCTCCCATTTCCCTTTACTATCCATTTATCTCCCATTTCCTTTTACTATCCATTTATCTCCCATTTTCCTTTACTATCCATTTATCTCCCATTTCTCCTTCACTATCTACTTATCTCCCATTTTACTTAACTATCCATTTACCTCCCATTTCCCTTTACTATCCATTTATCTCCCATTTCCCTTTACTGTCCATTTATCTCCCATTTTACTTTACTATCCATTAATCTCCCATTTACGCTTTACTATCCATTTATCTCCCATTTCTTCTGTACTACCCATTTATCTCCCATTTCCCCGTTATATTCTTTTAAATCATTTATTTTTTCATCAATCTCTTCTTCTGTTCTTCGAACACCGCCAGACGTCTTTTCCTGATCTCATCCTTAACAATAACACACATTTTAACTAGTTAAATAACCTGTTCTGGTATTCTGATCAGAGTATTTAATTAAATAACCTGTTCTGGTAAGAATATTAAAACTAATTAAATAACCTGTTCTGGTGTTCTGATCAGATTATAAAAACTTGTCAAATAACCTGTTCTAGTATTCTGATCAGATTATTTAATTTAATAATCTGTTCTAGTGTTCTGGTCAGATTATTAAAACTAATCAAAAAACCTGTTCTGGTGTTCTGTTAAGATTATTAAAACTAATTAAAAAAACCTGTTCTAGTGTTCTGATCAGATTATTAAAACTTATCAAATAACCTGTTCTGGTATTCTGATCAGATTATTTAATTTAATAATCTGTTCTAGTGTTCTGGTCAGATTATTAAAACTAATTAAATAACCTGTTCTGGTGTTCTGATCAAATTATTAAAACTAAATAAAGAACCTGTTCTGGTGTTCTGGTCAGATTATTAAAAGGATTATCCTCATCAAAAGGGCTTCCAGGTCCTTTCTTTTCAGTAGAACCAGGAGGAGAACTACAGGAACCAGGAGGAGAAGCTGAATTAGAAGCTGCCAAAGCTGTACCTAAAGCTTCTGAAGCAGCTGACTTATCACTTGAAGAAGAAGTAGTAGTAGAGACTGATGCTGCTGAAGACATCTTATTAGGATTACTTGAATGTGAATTGGGAACCTAACCAAAATAAATATGTTTACAAACGCATAAGTAGAAAAATTAAATTTTTGTTAGCAAACTAGCATGAGGGTCATGTTTTCTGAAGTCAGCCAGATTTTTTAAATTATAGTCAGTCATGGATTTTTTGGATTTAATGCTTTTGGTGATATGCTAGCTGTGTGCAAAATTTTAAGAAAATCCATGACATTAACTTCCATAGGGTGGCTGACTCGAAAAGGGATTAACACACCATCTAACAGAAATCATAAAAACTCATTAAACACTGTTTCAAAACGTTTGCACTGGGAAATTATAACAGTTTGATTAGATATCTAAAAAACGACTTTTTATATAATTGCACGTGGAGTTAAATCTAAAGAGATTCTTGTACTGATTACAACGACAGATGTCAGTTCAGAAGATGAAAAAATATACCGAGCTGAAAACTTTAGAATGGGATACCCTTAATCCTGATAATCCACTGTGGAAACTTTAATTTGTTGGATATCACATTTCCTACTACATGTAATAAAGATACGTTAGATAGATACATAGAAACGATGCTATATCGATAGAACTAATATACGATTTAACTAAAGTAAGCTGTTCTTCAGCCGGCTTTTAGAGCAATTAAACAAACGCCAGTCTTAATAAACATTACTTACGTGCGTTCAATCGATCATTAGTCAATTAATATGACGCCACAAATGCGGGAAAATTAAAAACCGGTTTTTTAAAGTAACTTATCTCTAGAAATTAATCAAGAGACTAAATTAGTCTGAAGATTTGCAAACAGGGAGGATTAAGCATTGATCCCGATATCCAACATTTTCAAGTTTTCAGCTCCGGTTTAAAAAGAATCGTTGTCAATTTCGTTGACAGTCTCTTAAAATGAAAACTAAGTTCTATCTTTGGCAGGAAAATAAAAACTGATATAACCGTCTGCTTTGGAATCAAAGTAAATTATTCAGAATCATACCTTAGGTCTAGCTCCTGTTGCCTGCTGGGATGATGATGGTTGTGATGTGGGCTGTGATGATTTATTTGTCTGTACCTGCTTAATATCAGCAGCAGCTGGACTAGTGGAGGCAGCTGCCGCATCAGCTGCAAGAGAAGCAGTAGCAGCTGCAGCAGCATTGGCGGCCGCTGTAGCAGCTACTAGAGGATTCTCCGAAGTATCAGCAGCTGCACTGCTGGCTCTAGCTGAATTCTGCTGAGCAGTACACCTAGATTTTTGGTAATTGTTATCTAAATCAAAGCAAATCCCCAAACAAAAACAAAGAATGAATAAGCTTCTTCCAGCTTGTGAAAGACGGTAGATATTTGTCTGGAGCTCGATTTGACCCATCAAATTAAAATTGTTCTCATTGCTCAGTCTATAGGGTTACCCACAAAGGATTAGACGATTATACGGAATTTATACTGCCAGTTTCCTTATTTTCATGATTTCTTTCAACTTTCATTGCCAAATCATTAAATAAACCATTTAAAGGTCATGAGAACTTAATTGTTGGGATTGTTTTATTAGATCAGCCTAAAATCGTCTTTACAGTCACATCCTTTGTGGTTAACCCTGTATGTTAATTGTTAAGTAAGAAAACACTAGCAGTCGTGGATACAGTTGATAGAACTTCGTTAAGATCAAAATTCCCCGTAAAGAAGAGTGTTTTGGCATGTTGAGTGTTGAGGTCAAATTGTAGTAAATCCACGAGTGCAAATATTTGTCAATGTTTTATTACTTGCAGTGACTGTTAAGTCATCTATTGTTACGTCCCAACCGCTAACATTTTAAGAACTATCTCCGTACAACTTCTTGACTAGTGAGAAAACTAATGTATTTAAACTAACCTTGCCACGACTGCACTATATTGCTGCATTTCCAGAACAGCAGCATCGAGCAGAACCTGTACGTTTCGTAGGCACCTATACATTCATTTATTTAATAATCTAATCATCAGAAGCTGAAATAAAAAATAAAAAAATTTGATTTTTGAAAAATAAAATCGTTTAAAAAGTTAAGTTCTTTAGCCTAAGTTACAAGACGAAAAAAAATTTAAATTGCAATTTTACATCAAATGTTTGGAAATTTATACTAAATTCAGATTCAAAAACAATTTAAAAGACATTAAAAATAAATAAATTATCTTTTAACCCTATCCCCGCTGGGGTACTTGAAAACCATTATATATGTATTTATAAAAGAAAATTAACCTGATTCTGGCTTCCACATTCTCCCTCTCAGCTCCCTCCATCTCCCTCAATTCATCATCACTCATCCCCTTCACATCAAATTATTTTTTATTATTTTTGAACAGAAAAATCCGCAAAATTTTAAACCGAAAAAAATGGCGACTTTTAACGTTTAAGCTAAAAGCCTTGTGTTCTATATCGTATCTGGGGGAGAGGGGCTGGGTTGTCTCTTAAGATTACGCTGACAGTCCCTTTAATGAAGATATTGGAGGTGCAGGCATGATAAAATGGAGATATTGGAGATCAAGGCCGGATAAAATAGAGATATTGGAGGTAAAGTATAGATAATATGCAGATATTGGAGGTCAAGGCACGATAAAATGGAATATTGGAGGTAAAGTTGTGATATAATGGGATATCACAGATCAAGAGAATAGAATGGAATATTAGAGGTCAAGGCAGGATAAAATGGGATATTGGAGATCAAGGCCGGATAAATTAGAGGTAATGAAGGTCAAGGCAGGGTATAATGCAGATATTGGAGGTCAAGGCAGGATAAAATGAAATATTGGAGGTCGATTCAGGATAAAATGGGATATTGGAGATCAAGGCCGGATAAGTTAGAGATATTGGAGGTAAAGTCGGGATATAAATGGATATCACAGATCAAGAATAAAATATTAAAGGTCAAGGCGGAATATAATGCAGATATTGGAGGTCAAGGCAAGGCACAGTGGTCCAGAAAGTGCAAAATGGGGTTAAAATTAATAAGAAGTTGTTTTGGACTTCAAATATATCAAATTAGGGATTTTTGGATAAGAGAATTTTAAATTTAAGGTCGATCAAAACATGATTTCGCGCACGCACTACGCGCGCATACACACTAAAAAAGCAAAATTTAATGAAAAATTCATGTTTAATTTCAATTCTAAGCTTTTAATGGTCAATCAAGGATTTCTAATTTGCAGTTAAAACTGTAATCTGAGCGCACGTCAAACACGCACCCACTGAAACTGAGACTTTTAGTGGAAAATGCGTGTTTTTTTTTATCTATTAAGGGGATTTTTAGCTTTAACTTTCAAATTGCTAAAACTTGCATTAAAAGTGGGAAAATTATGCGCGCGCGCAATAAATTTTCAAAATTAGATTTTGATGCATAAATTATGCAATTTTATTTTGCCTACAAAATTTGGTATTGACACCAAATGTACAGGTAGATGCAGCTAATTTCCCCTCCTACCTTAGATCTCTGCTTTAAATGCAACATTTTGGTATAGGTCTCGTGGTCAGGGTATTTAAAGGAAAAATTCCCCAGAACTTATAAAAATTAATATTTTATAAAAATAAAATAAAATTGAATTTTAGGTATAATTAAGATATAGGAGGTTTAAGCAGGATATAAGAAGGATAAAGGAGGTCCGAGCTGAAAACTTTAGAATGGGATATCCTTAATCTCGATCTGTTAATTAATCTGGAGATTAATAACAAGAGGAGAACAAGCCATATTTAATCTGGATATTAATAAAAAGAGGAGATCAGCAATGATCTTGATATCCACCATTCTGAAGTTTTCAGCTCTAGTAGGATAGTATAGAGATGATGGAGGTAAAGGTCGATTAAAGAATATAATAATAAAATCTTAGGATAATTTCAGACTGGAGAAAATGGCGGTTTACCTGGAAATTTGGTGGAGGCATGGGCGGAGGTATATTCCAAGCCATAAATGGAGGGAAGGGTGGAAGGACGCGAGGGCGGCCAGGAACGCCTCCAACACCCCCTGCTGCACCAGCTCCGAGAGCCTAGAATTTTTAACATGAAAATTTAATTCTAAATTCTTAGTTTCCATCTGTTCTTAGGATCCGAATTTGTTGGATCCGCAACATTTGTGCCTCCTGGATCCGGATCCAAATATCTCCTGGATCCGGATCCGCAAAAATATTTGGATCCAGATCCAAGGGGCAAAATATCTCACCAAATCTGAATGGTTGATCATCAAGTTTCTTTTGCAAATCTGCAAATCTGCAAATCTTAAAGTAAAGTTAATTGCTCATGACCTGGCCCCTGATCCATTTTTCCAGGGAAATGGCAGGATCTGGATCCGCATCAAAATGAAATGGATCCTAAGCGCTGGTTTTTAATTAGAAACTTGAACTTAAGTAAAATTTAGATTAAATACAGGGTAGGGGACTTGCTTTGATATAAATTAAGACTTGTCTCGCCTCAGGCCGCGATTCAAAATCTTCATCTCTAATATTGTTTTACCAAAACGAATTTGTTCGTTTTCTCAAGGTGATTTATTTACAATTAAACTCAACTCAAGACTCAAAACTTTTTTTAAAAATTAGCCTCATAGAAGATTTTTGATTTCCACGCAATATTTTAACTATACTTTAACCTATGCATCTGGAAAATAAAATGATCACAGTGCCCACGAAACAAGGTTTGAGTGAAAATTTGGGGGGGGGGGGCGCGCGGTGAGGAGATTTTAAAAAAAATTACACGAAAAGTTGGCAGAGATAAATAAAAAACGGGGTGTTGCATAAAAATGAAACAAAAAAGCATTCAGCGGCTTGACACATGTACTTATTAGACTCCATGGTAATATTTTAAAATTTGGTGAACACTCCCTTTAACACAGTATTTTCTACCTGAGGGGGTAAACCCATCATATTAAGAAGGTTAGGCATATACTGCTGCTGAGGTTGCTGCTGCGGTTGCTGCTGCTGAGTTCTCTGCTGTTGCAGAGCTGCTATCTGCTGATGTAGAGCAGCAACTTGCTGCTGGAAATTTGGAGGTACTGTAGCAGCTGCAGGAGCTGTTCGTAGAACATCCAACCTGGTATAGTAATAAAATTATTCATTTTGACATTTTTATTTTTCATGATTATAAAAATCATCATTTTTTATCAAATAATTTCATAATTTCAAATTTTTGTTTTAAAGTTAACAATAAAAAATACATTTCAAAAATTCATATGTTCATTTTTATATCAAATTTCTTTTTTAGTTATTTCAATCATCAATTTCAACATAGGTGAATGCTGTGGGCTAAAGTATAATGGAAAGAAATAATTAATTCTACTATGAACATTGGACAATTTGCATTTCGGGGGTCTTCACAAATATTTGTATTTCATTGGTACTAACTTGCGAACCTAGATTTGCCTGAAAACTAAATTAACCCATCTCAACTACGTATGTCAAAACAAAGATGAACACATTCCCGTGGTCCCACCGAATTACTCCTACCAAAATGTAATGCAAATCGGTCAAGATGTTATGATTGAACAAAAAAAAGAGATAGCTACACAGAGGTGTATATTTTAAAAAAATCATTCCCTCCCCCCATTGCATTCCTCCTTTTAGAAAATAATTTACTTTCCCTAGAAGTTATTTATAAATTATTTTTATATGGTTCTTTGCTGAATTGGAAAAAAAATGATTTTTCAGGGAAAATAAATAATTTTTCAGGGAAAATTATTGATTTTTCAGGGAAAATAAATGATTTTTCAGGGAAAATACATGATTTCAGGGAAAAAAGATTATTTTTCAGAGAAAATAAAATGATTTTCAGGGAAAATAAATGATTTTTCAGGGAAAATAAAATGATTTTCAGGGAAAATAAATGATTTTTTAGGGAAAATAAATGATTTTTTGGAAAATAATGTCAAAAAGAAGGAAAAAACTTGTCTTTTAATGTCTCATTTTTCATTTTTTCCGCCCTGCTGATCAAAAATCATCTCCCGCCCCCTAATTCTGAAAAAAAACACCCCCCTGTAACTAAATCAAAATTTAAAATACATCATTTTTTACCTGCAGGTTGGACATGTTTGTTGTCTTTGGAACCAGGATCTTAGACAGCTTCTGTGGAATATATGGTTGCAAGGTAGTTTCTTAGCACTAGGAGCAACCATCTCCTCCCTATATATATATAAATATATGGCTGCAAGGTAGTTTCTTAGCTCTATGAGCAACCATCTCCTCCCTATATATATATAAATATATGGCTGCAAGGTAGTTTCTTAGCACTAGTGAGCAACCATCTCCTCCCTATATATATATAAATATATGGCTGCAAGGTAGTTTCTTAGCTCTATGAGCAACCATCTCCTCCCTATATATATATATAAATATATGGCTGCAAGGCAGTTTCTTAGAACTAGGAGCAACCATCTCCTACCTATATATGTATAAAATAAATATATGGCTGCAAGGTAGTTTCTAATCACTAGGAGCAACCATCTCCTCCCTATATATCTATCTATATATAAATTTGGCTTGTCTGTTTGTTTGTATCCAATAAACGTCAAAACGGCTGAACCGATCAGGCCCAAATTTTTTGTGGGACATCACGTGACCACAGGGAAGGTTTACGGATGATACAAATTTAAAAAAAATGTGTTTTAAAGGTTTTTAAATTTTTTTAAAAAAAATCTTGAAAATCCGCGAATTTTCTTTTTAAAATTCGCAAAATTTTCTTCTTTGATTTAAAATGTAAACTAAAAGAACATGTTCACAATTTAAATAGAAGATGGGCGCGAAGCGCCCTAAAAGCCTAGTATATGTAAATATATGGCTGCAAGGTCGTTTCTTAGCTCTAGGAGACAGGTTATTCTCCATAAATAAATATAAATATATGGCTGCAAGGTAGTTTCTTAGCTCTAGGAGCAACCATATTCCCCCTATATATATAAGCATATTGTTGCAAGGTAGTTTCTTAGCACTAGGTGCACCCATCTCCTCCCTATATACAAATATGAATTTATGGTTGCAAGATAGTTTCTTGGCACTAAGCGCAACCGTCCCCTTTCTAAATAAATACATATATATATGAATATATAAATATATGGTTGCAAGGTAGTTTCTTAGTACTAGGAACAATCGACTGGGAGCAATGCTCCTAGTGCTAGTAGCTAGTTGCAACCATATATATTTAAGAATATATAGGAAGGAGATGGTTGCTCCTGGTGAATATTATCTTACAACCATAAATTTATAAATATATATCTATATCTATATATAAATTTGGCTTGTCTGTTTGTTTGTCTGTCTGTTTGTATCCAATAAACGTCAAAACGGCTGAACCTATCGGGTCCAAATTTTTTGTGGGACATCACGTGACCACAGGGAAGGTTTATGAATGATAAAAATTTATAAAAATGTATTTTAAAGGTTTTTAATTTTGTAAAAAAAAAATTCTTGAAAATCCGCGTTTTTTTTTTAAATCCGCAAATTTTTTTTCTTCTTTGTTTTTAAATGTAAACAAATAGAACATGTTCACAATTTAAATTGAAGATGGGCGCGAAGCGCCCTAAAAGTCTAGAAAGAAGGGCACGAAGCGCCTTGAATTTCTAGTCTATATATAAATTTGGCTTGTATGTCTGTTTGTTTGTTTGTATCCAATAAACGTCAAAACGGCTGAACNTTGCAGCATGCAGCGCCTCAGAAGGTCTAACCTAACCTTAGGAAAGTTGCCACTTGGGAAATTGCCCTTGGGAAAATACTTTTGGGAAAATAACTAACACCCTTTTATAAGTTAACTAACCTGCAGATAATACAAACATTATCCGTATTTTCTAGTTCCTGGGCTGTAGCATCAGGGTAGAGAGTGTTCATATTGTGGATTGCTCGTCGAGATAGGACAACATCATTGAATGCCTTCACATAAACATTGTACAGACTATAGAGGCCAAATTCAAAGAACATGGTTGGTTCCACATCAAATTGTATTCAGTGTTTCGAGATTTGAGCTGGCGATCAATTGAAACCGGTTTTTGGCGGTTCAGAGTTTCAGTTTAAATTCTTTAAATTTGGCCTCAGATTTAATATATTCAGAAGTATATATTTTAACCCCCCCCCACACCCTCATTTAATCATGTGGGGGAAGCATTCCTATGGGACAAAAGATTTTTTAAGTGGGGGGGAGGTGATTTTTCAAGAATTATTCACCCCTGTGTACATGAAAAGTGCGCAAGACTTTGTTTGAACTGATATTTACACTATTTTAGTTCAATCATTTCAGTCATATGCCATAGGTAGAAAAGATTTATATTTTAGGGGTAAAAACAAAGTGGCAAACTACATCCTCCTTTTTCAAAATTAGATGTTAGGATGGATAGCTACTGATACTATAGCAATTAAATAAAAATCTACCAAGTGGAAATATTGACTATAGATATTTACATTAAGAAAATATTTTAAAAGGTTGCTAACTTTAAACCCCCCCAAAAAATATTTTCAAAGCCTCAGAGGAAAAATCTAATAGAAATAAAAACTATTCTAAGTTTACCTTTTTAAATGCTCGCATGGTCAGATACATCGGTCGGACAGCAAACAGAGGTAGAGTAAATATACGGACCATAATCATGAAGAATAGGACATATAGCAGGACCTAATATACAGAGGTAGAGTTAATATACGGACCATAATCATGAAGAACAGGACATATAGCAGGACCTAATATAGAGAGGTAGAGTAAATATACGGACCATAATCATGAAGAACAGGACATATAGCAGGACCTAATATACAGAGGTAGAGTAAATATACGGACCATAATCATGAAGAACAGGACATATAGCAGGACCTAATATACAGAGGTAGAGTTAATATACGGACCATAATCATGAAGAACAGAACATATAGCAGGACCTAATATACAGAGGTAGAGTTAATATACGGACCATAATCATGAAGAACATGCCATAATAGCTAGGACATATTATGCTTTCAGTAGTTAAAATAATTGATCTCATTTCTTAGGACTTAAAAATAACTCTAAAGGAGTGAAACTCGTCTCTCAAGAGTTAAAATCACTCTTCAGGAGTTGAAATAATTTTTCATGAGTTGAAATCGTTTTTCAGAAGTTGAAATCGTTTCTCAGGAGTTGAAATCACTCTTCAGGAGTTGGAATTCATTTCTCAAGAATTAAAATCCCTCGAGTTAAACACATTTCTCAGGACTTAAAAATCGTCCTTTATGAGTTAAACTCGTAACTCAGAACTTCGAAAATAATTCTATACAAGTTAAAATAGTTTATCAGAAGCTAAAATCACTCCTCAGGAGTTGAACTCATTACTCTATTTTAAAATGGGCTACTCCGAGTTCTATTTTTTTAATCCCCAAAGCATTAACAGTAACTCATTCACTGGCATAGCTTTGGAGGTTCATAAAGTTTCATTCTCAACCAATATAAATTCAGGGAAAATGGTTTCATGATACAATAAATAAAGTTGCAGCATAATTAAAAGCAGTGCTTTGAAACCATTTAAAATTTTAATGTAGATTCAAATCCTGGATCCGCACTGAACAAAAAATTCGGATCCAGGTCATGAACATTTTTTTAGATTTATTGAATTTATTGAACAGAAGAAAAATTTTAATTTATTTTTCTAATTCTTCTTGCTTATTTGTATGTGAAAACTTGTGAACCTTTGATAATTAAGAAAATGTTTATTTTTCTCTCTTTTTTCAACAGTTCATATTTGGGTTTAGAAAAATAGAAATCATATAGATATGTAATTTTTATGCACAACCTGTCATATTTTCAATGGAAAAATAAATTATTAGATTAAATTAGATTAGATTAGATCTATCTATCTATAATGCAGTTGCTAGTAGAGCAAACAACACTACTAGAAACCCACCACTCTACTCAGACTCTTCAAAAGGTGGAGATCCGGCTTGTTAGCATAGCATAGCTCAATGGTTTATGTACGCGCGGGTGACCAGATGTGATGCGAGTCCCAGGTGGTTTTGCACATGAAAACCGCACCCACGAAATTATAATGTAGCTTAAAACTATACCTTAAGAAATCCAATGAAGAGTTCAGTGTAGAGCATGAATACAGCTTTATTCTCCCATGGAGTCTCACTAAAATTGTATTGCAATATAAATGATCCCAGGAGAAAGGCCCCATATGTTAAAATATTGACTGAAATCATCTTGAGATATTGTGCCCGCAGAGAGTGCTTAGGATCCATTTATTTTAATAAAGCAGAATTGTCAAAACTATTTTTCTTCTTTATTTTGCTTATCTATATACTTGATTAACCATTCAGAGATCAAGAAAGTTATATATTTTCTATTTTTTTAAACAGTTCTGATTGGGTTTTGAGAATAAAAGATTGTTTTGGAGTTTGGTTACTATGGATCCGGAATCCGGATCCTTAGCACTGACTGTTTGTCTGAAATGAGGAACACCTGTACCGATTTGTCTCAAATTTTTATCGAGGAACTCAAAAGGACCATGGGAAATGGGAATGCTATTAACTTGGTTTTGAGATGGTAAGTTGAAAAATAGCTGAACAGGTGGGACTAACTTTGACTAGCCAGGGTTTCCAAGCTAGTTTAGATAAACGAAAGTATTTTAATAACAACCTGTGGAGATCAACACTATGAAGAATATATTTGATCACTGTGTTCAAGATTATTGTCAGAAGGATGGCATACTCGAACCCAAATACAAGCTAAAAAAGGTCAAAACTTTAAAAAACGGGAATCAATCAATCAATCAATTAATCAATCAATCAACCTTTCTTAACCTTAACCTCAAACTCTTCTATAAAATTCCTACAAAAAATCCTATAAAAATTCAAAACCAATCAATATCAACTCTGTACGTTCTGAATGACATTCAGCTCAATTAAATGACGTCAACTAAAAATCTAATTCAAACAATTCTAATCGAATTCAACCCCACTCTAAATCAAATACATATTAAATTGACTAACTTGACTATCAATCAATCAATCACTTTAAAATTGATTTACTGCTAATAACTATTAATTGTTTAATCATATGATTAATCAACCACTTAATCCATCAACCATAATAACCCATAAATTAACTATATTTAATCGCTTTCACTAAATTAATCAAATATCATTAAATTGATGAAAGAAAAACAATTGATCTACCTGAACACTGGCTCCCTTTGTTATTGTATTAGTGCAAGCATGTTGAATGAACAGTATATCCAGGGCAGCAAGGAATACAGCCAGGGATAATACCTTTATAATAATAATTATAATATACTTTAGTACAGTGAAACCCTTAATAACGAATACATTAGAAGAATTTATCAAATGTCGTCTTGACAATTATATACTATATTACGTAAATTTCAGTATTTGCGAAAATAAATAAATAGCCATGAATATGCGGGAACAATTTTAGAGAGTTCCATCTAATCATTTAATTAAAAAACTAAATATCTGAAACATTCCATTATTAGAATGTGAAGAAAACGACATTTGATGAATTCTTTCGATGTATTCGTTATTAGGGGTTTCACTGTAGGTTTACAGTAGGGAGGTTTATTTTTCAGAATTAGCCAAGGAAAGAGGGGGGTGTTTTATTGTAGATTTTGAGGGAAAAATGAAAAATTGAACATTCATCATACTTTCATTACTTTCCAAAGTGTGTTTTTACACGTTTTTTTTATTTTATGTTATTATAGATCAATTTAACAATAAACATTAAATAGATTTAAAAACTATCTAAAACAAGAAAACCGTAGAATCATACAATATCTATATAATAAAAAAGACATTTTTTTTGTGGACCCTCATTTTTTCCACAGGCAACGCTGGTTCCTTCAGCTTTTTTTATAATAAAACAAGACATTCGTATATATGTTCCCAATAGCCGGCCAAACGGATGGACCAAATGGCCTTAACATTTTTTGTGGACACTCATGGTGACACTGACAAAAGCTATGAAAAAATTTTTTATTTCTATTTAAAAAATTCCACTGGCAACGCCGGGTAATTCAGCTTGTAATTAATAAGAAATTCAATATCAATAATGATTCCGAAAGATAAGTTCAGATTCCGTAAGAGTCATTTTCGCAAAATCATTTTTTGTTTAAATAAACTGACCCTTAGATGGAAGAGAATTGAAATGACCGGGGAACGTTCCATAAAGTCTACTCGTTCCTCAGCTAACCAGTGGAACGATTTCAGGAACAACAGGAGCACAAATAGACCAACGAACTTAGGTGAGAAATCGTCCCTACAAAGGAAGAAAATTAACACATTTTTGAAAAAACTCAAATTTTCTAGTTTAGATTTATATCTTTGCAGTCTGAAAGTGTAAACCTTTGATATTTCATACTTTTTACGCTTTAAAATCAAGAAGAATTAGTAATTTACCAAAAAAATGAGTTAAGTAGTTTTTAATAGTAAATAATTAGTGGATAAACCGGTTTCTCATGAATAATAAATTGGTTTAAGTTGAACTAATTTGATCCAAAACTGGATACGGATGCAGTTAATAAATATTTAATAATAATTTTTTTTATCAGTTGACACAAAAAAAAGTGGGTTTTAAGTTTTTGGATGTTTTCTTATGTTTTTTTTTCTATGAAAATAAGAACAAATTTTTAGTAATGATAACTTATCCTAATTCTTCTCATGTAGAGTAGTGGTAGTAAATTCATTCAGAAGAAAAAAGGTTTTCATGAATAATATATTTCTAAAATTGACGAACTTGAAAACTGTGAACGCCAGGCAGGTTTCCGTTACAGCATACCACGATCTAAATTAATTTCCAATTAATTTATGATGATTGAAGAAAACTTTAACATTTCAAATATTCTATCAGACAATTAAACTGATCAGTTCCCCCCTCAAAAAAATCAATTTAAAAAACATTTCTTAGGTAAAGGGAATGGTTTAAAATATTGGAAAATACCACCTCCACTTTCAGGATTTTGTCAAGATATTATGAATACAAACAATAAATTCAAAGTTAATTATTCAGGAGGATTTGAATCGGTGATTCAGAAGTTGAACCAGCGGAAGGTATTTCAGCGACCTCTCCAAATCAAAAAAAAACTCCGACCCTGTATGATAAACTGAATTACTTACCGCTCCATTAGATGCTCAAACTCAGCAGCACGAAGTTGACCGAAGAATATTTTCCTCATTATCTTCCCGATCAGTACAACAACAACCAGGGACTAGATATAAACAAGTATGCAGTACAACAACAACCAGGGACTAGATATACATTGTCAGTAAACAAGTATGCAGTACAACAACAACCAGGGACTAGATATACATTGTCAGTAAACAAGTATGCAGTACAACAACAACCAGGGACTAGATAAACATTGTTAGTAAACAAATATGCAGTACAACAACAACCAGAGACTAGATATACATTGTCAGTAAACAAGTATGCAGTACAACAACAACCAGGGACTAGATATACATTGTTAGTAAACAAGTATGCAGTACAACAACAACCAGGGACTAGATATACATTGTTAGTAAACAAATATGCAGTACAACAACAACCAGGGACTAGATATACATTGTTAGTAAACAAATATGGAGTACAACAACAACCAGGGACTAGATATCCATTGTTAGTAAACAAATATGCAGTACAACAACAACCAGGGACTAGATATACATTGTTAGTAAACAAATATGCAGTACAACAACAACCAGGGACTAGATATACATTGTTAGTAAACAAATATGGAGTACAACAACAACCAGGGACTAGATATCCATTGTTAGTAAACAAATATGCAGTACAACAACAACCAGGGACTAGATATACATTGCTAGTAAACAAATATGCAGTACAAAAACCAGGGACTAGATATACATTGTTAGTAAACAAATATGCAGAACAACAACCAGGGACTAGATATACAATGATAGTGAACAAATATACAGTACAACAACTACCAGAGACTAAATATAAATTGTTAGTAAACAAATATGCAGTACAACAACCACCAGAGACTAAATATTCAATGTTAGTAAATAAATATGCAGTACAACACTACCGGAGACTAATTATAAATTGTTAGCAAACAAATGTGCAGTACAACAACAACCAGAGACTAAATATCCAATGTTAGTAAACAAATATGCAGTACAACAACTACCAGAGACTAAATATAAATTGTTAGTAAACAAATATGCAGTACAGCAACCACCAGAAACTAAATGTACAATGTTAGTAAACAAAGTTGCAGTACAACAACCACCAAAGACTAAATATACAATGTTAGTGAACAAATATGCAGTACAACAACTACAAGAGACTAAATATCCAATGTTAGTAAACAAATATGCAGTACAACAACTACCAGTGACTAAATATCCATTGTTAGTAAACAAATATGAAGTACAACAACCAGAATAAATATTTTAGTAAACATGGAGAAGGAAAATATGATAATAATAATCAAAATAAATTTTTTTGTATGATCTTAACCAAATAATTTAATAAAAATAAATTTTGAAAGAAATAAATACCAAATAACATTAACACAAATATGCAAGATAACCACCACAAATAAATTAACAAACTTATCTTGTGTACAACAACATTAAAAGAATAATTCAAAGATATTAAAGAAACAAAAGGCAAAAGAACTCGAATTTTTAAAAGAAAAAAAATCCAAAATCTCATTTGAAAATTTTCCTTTCAAATAGTTTAAATTTAAAAATCTGCATCTTTCAATTTCTAGAAATTTAATATAATTTGAGGTTGCCCAGAGGATGTAAAAGGGAGAGGGGTCGACCCTNAAGGTCCTGTTGTTACCTGGAGGTATATAATGGCCATGCTTGGGTTAGATTTTGTTATGTAAACAACTGAAGGATAGAACTGTTGACGTTGGTGCCAGGCGTTCCCTGAGTAATTTTTGACATTAATAATTTAGGGAGTAAAATGATATGATATTTTTTTTGGAAAAAAATGAAAGTGGAGGCTTAATATTTCCCAAAAATCAGTGAAAATTTGAGATCTCTGAATTCTTCATGGGTGTATAATTTTTAAGAAGGGGAAAATGATTTTTGAAGAATTGAGACTAAAAATGAATAATTAGACAAGTTTTTTCCTTCTTATAGATACTTTTTCTTTAAAAAATCATTTAATTTACCAAATTTTGCTATTGTTGCTTTAAGATGAACCCAATCTTTGCAATTTAAATTCAAATTATGGTTTGATTTTTCTTGCTTTAAGCTGCACCTAATCCTGGTATTTTTAATTCAAATTATGGTTAGATTTTTCTTGCTATAAGAGCTGCTGAGAAATTAGAAAATTGCATAAATACACATCGAGTTTTAACAGACGATCTTACAGACGTCTTTTAAACGTCATGTTTAGCGGTTCATCCTGTTAATCTAATATATATACTTAACTTGTCTGTCTGTCTGTTTTTTAAAATCCAATAAACGTCAAAAAGGCTGAACCGATCGTGCCCAAATTTGGTGTGTGACATCACGTGACACCCGGGAAGGATTAGGGATGATCAAAGTTTCAAAATTTAGCCCCTAACAAAATTCGATTATTTTCAAATTTTGTAAATCCACGAAATTTTTCCATGAAATCCGCAAACTTTTTCTTAATATAATTGGTTTTTAATACAAAAATGTTCACAATCAAAATAGAAGATAAGCGCCCTGAAAGCCTAGTAAATTTTAAAGTACCTAGAACAGCCATCGTCAACCCTATGCTGACGAGACCGAGGAGCTCGGACCTCATTCTTAAACTTTCTGAAATTAAAATTATAGATTTAAGATAACGTCAGAAAAAATATCTAAATTATAAAAATTGATAGTACCCCCTCCCCCCAACCCCGCGTCTAGTTTTAGATACCGTTTACTTTAGTTTCCAACATGAGGGGTCGGGTGGCAAGAATCCTTTGGGTCCGTCCTATTATACGATTTCATTACACCCTATCAATTTTGTACATGATCATTAATTTTTAGCGGTATATACATAGAGAACGATTTATGGACCCCCTCCTATCAATTTTGTACATGGACCTTATATGTTGTACATGGATATAATTGACCATGGGGCCGCAGCGCTCGGCCCCCTAGCCTTTCCTAGCCGCAGCGCTCGGCCCAGAAAGTGTCTTAACTATTCTAACCCGTGGCCACAGCGCTCGGGACCCTAGCCTGTCCTAGCCGCAGCACTCGGCCCAGAAAGTGTCTTAACCTAACCTAATCCTAAATAATAATAAATAAATGATAATTTACTTATTTCGTCATGTAGAAAATTGATAGGAGGGGGGGCCTGGGGGGGGTCCAAAAATCGTTCACTAGGACAGACCCAGATAAACTTAATATGCTCCAAATTTGGTTTAGGTATTTGTAAATAAATTCGACATTTAACTTAAATGTCATTATAAGAATTGATGATATTTAAAATATTAATTTACATACGTGTCTTAATCCATTAGAATTGAAATACGAGCCGAAGCTTAAAAATTTGATAATTTATGGTCTTCAGTTAATACAAACATTATAATTCAATCTCTCAACCTTCATGAGAAATGTTATCAGTTCATCTTTAATATTTACGATATGAAAAATAGAATATAATTTCTAACGTTTCATTTCCAATTCCACAATAAAATTAAACTTAGATAGAATAGAATTAGAATCCCACCTGTCAGTGAGGATTTGTTGGTTTGTACGTTTGTGATTGGTTGTCAGAAATCCCAGCTCTCTGATTGGTGAGAGTAGTCTAGCAAAACCGGATTTTCATCACTTCTGACAGGGCTGAAAATACTTCAAAAAAGAAATCGGTAGTTTTAATCAAATTTGTAATTTTCTATGCACAAAAGCAACGTCGAATTTTTTTATATTTTTTTTTAAATTAAGACGACATTTAAAGAAACTTAAAATAATTTTCACTCAGTATGCTGTATGAATTTGACTGCAGTTGCGCATTGTATTGCGAATATGTCACCCAAAAATGATTGAAGATGAAAAAAAACTGTTTAAACTTTTCCTTTTTTGGTTAAATTTCATGGATGTGGATTCAAGGTTGGGATGGGATGGGATGGGAAGGGATTTGGAGGGATGGATAAGGATGGAAAGGAATGGAATGGGAAGGGATGGGATGGAAGGAATGGAATGGGAAGAGATGGTAAGGGATTGGAAGGGATGGGAATGGTTGGGAAGGGATGGGAAGGGATGGGAAGGGATGGGAAGGGATGGGACAGGATGAAAAGG